AAAAATTTTTTATTTTTTTATGTTTTTACCACCAATCCTCGAATTCCATATCACAGATTATGTTCTTACTGCATTAATATAAATATTAACAAGACATAGTGCACAATAAAAATTAAGCTTTATTTAGGAACTTCGCGCATACTCCCTGACAGCCTGCCTGTTTCGGTCTGCTCGCTACTCGTAAGAAACTTCTCCTCTAGGGTTGCCACACTTATCGGAGGGCGCAAGGCGCGCTCCTTATCGCCATCACCACAGAGTTTCCCCCCAGTTCCTTTAATGGCTATTCAAAGGAACGACATAGGTTATGAAATTATCTCAGAGGTATCCGTACTGTCGGGTATTTTTTTACATGATTACAAAATTAGAATATAAAATTAGAAAAGATCAAAATGCAATTCAATATATAACAAGGTATTGACACATATAATAAACATGAAATAACAAGAAATATGTTAAGATATGAATTTAAAAAAAAAAATGTTTTAAATTGTTATGTAAGAAGCAAGTTTCTTAGGGAAGTGAACATGTCTTCCCGATCTGGTGACAGTTTGTGTCTTAGAGAGTTCGTTTGCAGATTTATTCTGCTGAACTGTCTTTAAGTCTTTATTTGTTTTCAGTTCAGGCAAATTAGAGTCCGAAAGCAAATAGGCTGGTTTCACACGGTCTATAGACACAGTAGATTTCAGACCGTTAATATCAATTGTGAAAGTTTTTTGTCCGTTCTAGAAAGGACTTTATGCGGACCTGTATATGGTTGGCACAGAGGTGGCTTTACTCGATCGACACGTAAGTATACATGCGTACACGACTTTAAGGTAGCACTTACGTAACATTTTTCTTGGCAATGTGCAGATGTTGCTATTGGATTCAATTGTTGCATTCTATGCCGAAGATTCGTGATAAATTGTGTGTCATACGGAGATATCTTAGATGACGTTATCATATCACTAGGCAGCTTGAGAGTTGTGCCGTACACCAGTTCAGCACAAGATGACTGTAGATCTTCCTTTACGGCTGTCCGAATACCAAGCATAACAACTGGTAGTGTTTCAGTCCAGTTATTGGTCTCGTGAGCCTTGAGAGAAGATTTTAAATGTCGATGAAATCGTTCAACAATGCCGTTGGACATTGGATGATAGGCTGTTGTTGTGATTCTGTTCGTACCCAAAATGCGCGTGAATTCTGCAAAAAGTGCGGATCTCATTTGAGAACCTTGGTCTGTTGTTATGATCGATGGGCAGCCAAAACGAGATATCCAACAGTTGAAGATGGCTCTGCAAATGGTTTCCGTTTTCATATCCGGGATGGGAATGGCTTCAGGCCATCTGGAGAATCTATCTATTAGAGTCAAAAGGTATACACATTGCCTTCTGATGGAGGTAACGGTCCGACGATATCCATATGGATTTCTGAAAAACGTGCATCAGGAAGAGAGAATGTGCCCAGTGGTGCTTTAGTATGCCTAGTAATTTTCGATTTTTGGCAAGATTCACAGGATTTCACCCAATTTTTGATATGACGTTTCATATCGGGCCATACATAACGAGAACAAATAAGCTTCGTAGTAGCTGCAATTCCTGGATGTGACAGATTATGCAGATGATTAAAGATGAGTCTGCGAAAGGAATTCGGAACAAATGGACGAGGAATGTCTGTTGATATGTCACAAAGAATATTACCATCAGAATATTGGCACGGTTTAAATTCCAGTTTCAAAGATGATGTGTTGTTTTTGAGAAGGTCTTGTACCTCCGGATCATGCCGTTGAGCTTCCGAAAATTTTTTAAAATCCAAAAATGGAGATTTTGTTATGGAATCAATTTCGATTCTTGAAAGAGCGTCAGCAACGACGTTTTTTGAACCTTGCACATGCCTAATATCAGTAGAGTACTGAGAAATAAAATCTAAATGGCGCAATTGTCGAGGTGAACATTTATGAGGGTTCTGTTTAAAAGCGTATATTAACGGTTTTTGATCCGTATAAATTATAAAATTTCTGCCCTCTAACATGTGTCGGAATTTCTTAATTGCAGAATAAATAGAAAATAATTCCCTATCGTACGCGGACCATTTCTGTTGACTTTTATTGAGTTTCATAGAGAAAAATGCTATAGGTTCCCATGTTTGTTGAGACAACTGCATAAGTGTGCCGCCGATTGCGACGTCTGAGGCATCTACCCAGATGCTTAGCTGGGCTCCGGGAATAGGGTGTCTCAAAAGGGTAGCCTGAGCAATGGCATTTTTGGCAGCAATAAAGGCTTCAGGCTTGTTCAGCATTCTCGTTCCAATTTAATTGTGGGGATGAATCCTGAACACGAGAACGAGATTTCTTTTTATTAATATAGCCTTCTAACAATTTTATTAAAGGAGAAAGAATATGTGCTGCTTTAGGTATGAAACATCTATAAAAGTTAAACATGCCTAAAAATCGGCGAAGCTGAGTGAGAGTGGTAGGTTGAGGAAAATCTAAAATACATTTGACTTTGTCAGGAAGAGGTTCAATTCCGTTTTCACTAAGGTGAAAACCTAAGAAATCAATAGATGTTTGACCAAAGGTGCATTTTGAAACATTTATGCAAAGTCCATATTCCTGAAGTTTGGAAAATAAAGCTTTCAAATGCCTGCAATGTTCCTCAGAATCTTTAGAGGCTATGAGCAAGTCATCGACAAAAGCGTAAACGCCTTCTAAATCCCGCGTGACTTCATCTATAAAACGTTGAAAAGTCGCAGATGCATTGCATAAGCCGAATTGCATACGGGATACTTTCGAATAAACCGAATGGTGTGCATATGGCGGTTTTGTGGATGTCGGCTGGGTTAATTGGTATTTGATGGTATGCCTTAATCAGGTCGACATGACTAAAAATTTTAGTACCGTGCAATGCAGCAGTAAAATCGGCTAAAGCATGGAATAGGGTATTTGTCTTTTATTGTTTGAGCGTTCAATGCTCGATAATCTCCTACAGGTCTCCATTCCAGACTTCCCTTTTTTGGAACCATGTGAAGTGGGGATGCATAATTGCTGCTCGAAGGTCTCAAATGCCCCAATTGCATCATAGTTTGAAATTCTTGTTTTGCTATTTTTAAGCGATCTGGAGCTAACCGACGAGGTTTTGCAACCACAGGTGGACCTTTAGTTATGATATAATGAACGGTGTTGTGTTTAACAGGTTGGTTAGGATCTGGTAATCTAGTAACTGAAGGAAATTCTTTTAAAATTTTGTGATATGGTGTATCACTAAATACAGTTTTTACTGAATAAATGCTTGCATTTTTCACGCAACCGACGGTTTTAAAATGCGTTTTTAAATCTTTGAGACATTTGTTTCTGAGATCAGGCACCAATTCAAAGAAATGGAGAAAATCTGCTCCAAGAATGGGTGTACTAACATTTGCTATAAGAAAAGTCCATGTAAACTGTGTCGTCTTAATTTGAAATCCAAAGAAAGTGTTTTTTGACCATAAACATGAATAGTAGAAGAATTAGCAGCGAAAAGTGTTTGTTGGGACGAATTCCGTTTTTGAGAATTATTTGCTGGAAGTAAGGACACGTCAGAGCCGGTATCGACCAAGAATGAAAGGTTTGTTCTACGGTCACGAACGAACAGGCGACGTGAAACTTGAGGCAAAGAATAAGTCGCCTCTATTCTTTGCTGGTTTCGTTTCCCTGCCATGAACAAGGTTTTGTACATTTGTCATCTCTACACTTTTTCCCAAAACGTCTATGATACCAGCAAACAGAATAATCTCTCCTTTTGGAATTGCTTCTTTCCTTATTGCGATCTCCGCGATTTGGCGAGCGACCACGAGAAAGAGAAATGCGATCAATACGTTTGTTTAATTTTTCTATTTGTTTAAATAATTTATCCTCAAGAGACTGATCGACTGTGCGAGAAACGGCACAAGTCCCTGGGGTTGGATTTACTTCTAAAATTCTGTCGGCAATTTCTGCAGCTTTATCTACAGTTAAATTGGAAACCGCTGCCAAAATAGACTGAACAGTCGAAGGCAAACGTTGAAGGAATAATTCTAACATTAAGTTATCAGGAACATTTAAAGATTCTGCTCGACGTTTCATATTTCTAAGCAAATCGGAAGGTTTTCGAGAACCTAATTCTTCTCCAGATAATAATTGGCGAATTTCTTGCTGAGAAGATTCTCCTGAACGATTTATTAACTCAGTTTTAAGCTTTGCATATGGATCAATAGGGTCTGGTTTCATAAGTAAATCCCGTACTATTGATGCAATATCTGGAGGAAGATGAGCAACTACATAATTATATTTAGTAATGGATTCTGTGATAGGTTTGGGGGTGGCAAGAGCAAAGGTACTTTCACACATAATAAACCATAAAGATGGGTCTGATCGGTTATAAACCGGAATTTGGACGGCATGAACATCAGACATTGTGCAAGGTTTTTAAGCCAAAATAAAAGCAAAAATTTAACTAAAGAAAATGAAATTAAATGATAAGTAGAAAACAGAATTATAAAATGATCTATAATTACTACTCATCTGTGATTCGGAGGATGAAAACCGATGTAATCCATTACTTCTGGTTTGGAGATCTTGAGTGATGGCTTGTAGTCAAAACCGAAAGTGCTTGAGAACTGTTCATACGATTTAACACAGTCCGGGTTACCATTATGGAATTTCCTGTTATGTTTTTACCACCAATCCTCAAATTCCATATCACAGATTATGTTCTTACTGCATTAATATAAATATTAACAAGACATAGTGCACAATAAAAATTAAGCTTTATTTAGGAAACTTCGCGCACACTCCCCGACAGCCTGCCTGTTTCGCTCTGCTCGCTACTCGTAAGAAACTTCTCCTCTAGGGTTGCCACACTTATCGGAGGGCGCAAGGCGCGCTCCTTATCGCCATCACCACAGTTTAACCCCACTGCTGAACAAAATCGGAATAATTTTTCTGCTTCGTGCAAGCTGTGGAAAAATTTATACTACGTGATGTTTAATTAGGAAAAAAAATCTGTTTATAAAAGAACAATGAAATTATTACAAAATTACAACGATAACTATGACAGCTGAACCTCGGTCTTCTGTTGCTGCATGGAAACGTTGTAACTTATGTGTTGATGTTACATTTAAAACCCCTCAAGAATTCCGATTACATTTGCGAAAAAATCATTGCAAAAAGGAAGGAGGTTCTTATGTATGTTGTTATGGAAAAAATAATATATGTGGGTCATTGCCACTTGAAGGTGTTAATGATCAGGATTATGAATTTCATGTAGTGAAACATCATGTATTAACTTTTACAGGTATTACTTTCCAGTGTGTCTTTTTCTGAGAGAGAAATATATTATTAATCATCTACCGTTAAATATGCAGTTATTTAATAAAATCTAAGTGATATTGCTCATATTTCTCATTGTATATTTTGGAATTGTGCTGTTGTCACTGTGTTGATTGTATGTAGTGAATCAGCAAAAAGTTAACAGTTTTTTTTGGGGGGGTTGATTTTTTAATTTTTATTATTATTATCATGTCAGTAGGAGGTTTTATAGACTTCATTAAATATTCACAGATTATTTGCTTTTGTTACTGCACTTAATCATTGTTATTTAGCTGTTGCATTTGCCATTATTATACAGTATACTTTTTACTTTGTTTTTCACTTTTATTAAGGCTTTACATCTTAACATGGTGTTGATTAAATTAATACTTTACAGTAACACCATTTTAGTTATTTCTGTGTTTTCTGCTTTTTTATTCTTAAATATTTGAAATTTTCATTGATTTGTCACTGTATATTAAGGTATCATTTTAAACTGTAGCAGTAAATATGTAATTTAAAATATATTTAAATAACTGATGGTTTAAAAAATATCTGAAATGATTAATGCTTTTTGGTTTATGCAGGTATGTTTTTTCTTATTTTAATTCAGTAAGTGATAGTTTATTTAGTTATTAATTTATCACATTCACACATTGAATGATCACCCAGATTATGAGCTGTTAAATCACATAAGTTAATTTGAACTTCCCCCCCCCCCCGCCTTCAAAAAAGTTCCAAATGTAGCGTACACGCTGATTTCAAATTGCGTAAGTTTATATAGTTCTATATTTTTTAAGACGCCATTGAAATACTAGTTTGATTTTTAAATCCTTTTTTGATATCCTATAGATTTAACAATTTGGAAATTGCCCGTGACGAAAAGTCTGCAATAAAATTTTGAGTAAAGTGCAGAATCACCCACTGCTTGACGCGTTTTTAAGAATTGCACATACTCGGTATCCTTGTGCATATCGACCTATTTTCACTTAAAAAAAATATCTTAGAATTGCACAAAAATGGCACTGTGCACACCCTTGACTTTATCTATGTACATATCGACCTATTTTCACTTACAAAGTAAAAGAAAATTGACAAAAATCCAATTGTTTTTACCCTTGTAAAAAGCGGCAAAACAAATAAGTGAGCGATTCTGCACTTTACTGAAAATATTTTCAAAGAAAAGGCATCATTGATCATAGAAAATTACGTTTCAACAACCGACGAGATGAAATTATGCTTTAGCGATACATCGGTAGTGAAATAGCGATGCAGGCATCCATTCAGTTATGTTTAGCAATTTTTATATAAATTATAATAATGATCTGAAATAGCTATTTACTCTTTTGCTTCCATTCAGTCATGTTTAGCCTTTTTCATATAAATTATAATAATAAAAAAGTATTATATGAAATTAACCTTTCACCTAAATTAAAACATCAGTCTTAGATACCGTATTTGACGGCATATAAGATGCACTTTTTTTCCTAAATTTGGTCTCAAAAAAGTTACCTGTGTCTTATACGTGAAGGTAATTGCATTCAATAATTGTTTAGGTTGATCTTTACATTATGGTAACTTGGCGATTTTTTGGCGAAAATTTGGCAAACTCTCCTACAGCAACCCTCTATTTTTTTTTTTCCGCCGCTATTTTGTCTTCACGAAGTAAAGACATGTTTCTTTTCTTTTTATCTACTGAACACTTCTTCCAACAATCTACTAGCTGAATTACACTTACGCTAGAAATTTTATCAAACAAAACTGCTTAATCACGACAAATATTCACTGCAAAATTGGGAAAAAGTGCACAATACCATACTCCTTACGCAACACATACACATAAACCATGTACACGCCGACTTATTTTTACTTAAAAAAAATCCCAGAATTGCACAAAAATGGCATTGCGCACACTCTTCACTATATCCATGTACACTGCTTTTTTCTAATAAATTAGAAAAATTTCACGAAAATACATGACAATTTTCTCAATCTTTAAACCCGGTAAAAAGAACATATATGAAATTACCTGATCGCGAAAAAGTATTTACCCTTTCCAAATATGAACATTTCCACATATAAAATAAATAAAATATCCAAAAACTTTTACCTCTAAATCATCTATTATATTATAAACGTCACCAACGAATTCATACCGCAACCATTACAAATACTTAGTGTCAGATATTTAAATTATTTCCATGCACGTTTACTTCAACTAAAACCTATACCAAATTCCTACAAACATAAAATTCATAAAATAACTATCATTTCATTAAAATATAATTAAATTCAAAAACACTACTTAAAACATAAATGAGCACATACATTAAATTAATAAAAATTAGCTTACAATCCTAATTACTTTAAACTAAATCATTGCTAATAACAATTTTCCCAATAATACCAAATTCCTTTCCACCTTACATTTAGAACAATGCATAAAAATAATATCCTCAAATAATTAAAAATACTAACTTACCTAATCTTCTTCAGAATCTTGATTACGTGTCCGATAAACTTTTCTTTCTTTCTGTTTCAGGATCTTTCAAATCATACTTATATTTCACAGCAAGGTACCAGGTAAAATAAATAACTTAATAAAACATCTTTATGTCTATCTCGCACAACCTTAAACAAACATTTATTACTACCCTTTTCAATACCACTAAATACCCATTTCGAATTCACTTTAGTTACGGCCATGGGATCCAAAAATTAACCAAGACTGTTTCACACAACACAGAATAAAGCCAAATACAAAATTTCCAGATTTTTTCCAGATTTCCCCCCTTTACCGATTAAAGAACCGTAATTCGTCCATTAATATCACATGACATATCCCATGATCTCTCATTTCCCTCACACAAAATAATGCGTAATCGGAACTGAGTACTGCTCACATTATTACCAAAGTCCCAGGTAGTAACCTTTATCGCCTCCAAAATGTCGCCAAACTACCACTTACCATATTGTAAAGATCAACCATTGTTTATTTGGCTTTTACGAAATGTGAGAATTAAAAGAAACCACGCTATTAAAACTTTTTTTCCTTGTGTGTGGCCGTCTAAATTAAGGGTGCGTCTTATATGCCGTCAAATACGGTAGTTATTTACTATTATACTTCCTTTCTTGCTGCAATTATTTTTGGCATCATTGGCATCAACAATAGTTTGGCAATATTTTATGGCCCTCGAAACCGAATAGTACCAAAATAAATTATTAGGGAGGATTATTATTTTTTCTCATCACATACATAATTACTAACTTTCCTTTTTTTACCCAGTAGTTTTTTAAGGTAAAAAATCTGTAATTCAGAATTTACAACCATTTTGTGAATTCCTTTTATGTGCTTATTATTAGAAGATAAGGAACTACTCTGATATGCGCCCTCAAGTCGCCAAATTTTTCGCCAAATATTTTTGGCGAGAAACTTCACGATGCCATATTACTATCTAAATTTTTTGTCTACATTTTGAACTTTTAGCCTAAAATGTCTCCAAAAACGCGGTTTTCGCACATGCAAAAACTACGTTTTGAACACACAATTTAGCTAAAATTCCGAAACAAAAACAAAAAATTTAGATAGCAAAAACGTAAAGTTTCTAACCAAAAATATTTGACAAGAATCCATGTACACAGCGACATGTTTTAACTTAAAAAAACATCTACGAATTGCACAATGTAGGCAACGAACGAATCTACAAACTATCTACAAACTACGCACACCTCGCTTTAATAAATTAACATAACGACAAATTTCAAAGAATACCATGTACACAGCATCCTGTTTAAACTAAAAAAAAATTCTACGAATTGCACAATTTAGGCAAGGAAGGAATCTACGATCTACGCACTTCTCGCTTTAATAAAATAACATAACAACAATAAATTTCAAATAGTACCATGTACACAGCGTTCTGTTTCAACTTTAAAAAACATCTACGAATTGTACAGTCTAGACACTAAACAACAAAATAATTTAAAATAAATTTCAAACAATTAAAAACAACAATAACGACAGAAATCCATACTAAAGAGCCAATGAACATAGCGTTCTACAAAATAAGAACAAGGATAAAATAAAATGCACTTACCATGAATTAATGCGTTTTCGAATAGCAGAAATATAAATTTCATACCGCCTTTAACATGCCGCCACGTAATCACTATCGTATTTACATGACAGCCAGACACACTATCCAGAAAATTTATACTATGGTTCACAAATAAATAAAATCACAAATCCCTACTTCTATCATGCACTGCCATTAAATAATCTCCCAGACCCTCTTTCCACACTTCCAAATACCCACTACCTCTCAACAGGATAGCCACAATCATATTTCCTTTTGCCGAACTTCAATTCAACAACTACCATTTTATCTTTCCCTCCCATCTTCTCAGACACAGAGGCGAACCAACGAGCTCCAGCGAAAGATTTTTCAACGTCAACAATAACCTCTGTTACATTAAGGTTATTTACCCTCTGTTACAGGGTTGCCATAGAACACGCAATCGTGCCAAAAACCAGCGCAGAACACATATCGCCACATTTGGTGAAATTAGGGCGTATATTAGAGTTGTACCGAAGATAAATTATAATTAAGAGAATGCTGTGATACAATAAAAATATAAGCTTTTACTTTCTGTATAAACTGAGATGTTTTGTCATAATGAAGATTCAGCTTTAGTGCTATGTGCTTATTATTAGAAGATAAATTATAATTAAGAGAATCCTGTAATACAATAAAAATATATACTTTTACTTTCTGTATAAACTGAGATGTTTTGTCATAATAAAGATTCAGCTTTTGTTTTAAAAAAAATCCATCTATCTACAGTCAAAAGTCCATAATTCGGAATGATCTATAATCCGGACCTCAAAACTAAAAACTTTCTGCGCATGCGCCGCGTTGACACATGCGCATAGGCTTTTACGCGTGCGCGTAAGACCTTTTACGACTGCGCAAGTGCAGAATATGT